ACAACAAAAAGAAAATATTAAAGTACTTCCAGTATTTAATGTACAAAACGTTTTACCAAAAAAAAAATTAACTTTAAAAGCTAATTATTTTCTTAAACGTTTAACAGATTTAAGTTTAATTTTACAAAAAAAGAAAGCAAAAAAAACTGCAGCAGAAATTGCTGAGGAAAATAATAAAAAAAATTGACGTTTACGTCGTGAATTAAGTTTACATCAAAAATTGATAGGGATTCGTGAATTAGCCATTCAGCGTAAATTTGTACGTTTAAAAATGCTTCCGTATAAGCAAGTATGAATGACACACTTTAATCCTGTAGTTTTTAAATTTAATAGGTTATCATTGCCTACTTTAGCAGATGCTCATTTTAGATCAAAAATTTTACGTTTATATTTAGAAAAAATTAGTTATCATATTTATTATTCTTTTCCTTATATTACTTTAGAAGGTATTAGAAAATCTATAGAACTTTCAAAAAAACGTCGCGCTGAAGCAAAAAAGAAAAAAAAAGAAGATCTTCCATTAAAAAATGTTATTTTACAAAATTTTGGTAAAGATTTACATAATAAAATTCATTTAAGTAATAAAAAATGATTTTTTTCTTTACAGCATTTACATAATTCTTTACAATTTATTTTACAATCTAAAGTGGATATTTTTTTTATTAATACTCATAGTTTATTAAGATATAAAACAAGATTAATCCCTTTAGATGTTAAAGGTTCTATTCGTAAATTAGGGGCTGAGTATTTATGACGCCATACTAAATTACAAAAAATTAATACAAATCGTCAATATCAAAAAGTCTTAAAAAATCCTTTTTTAATTGAACGTAGAGGAAAACGCAAAGGACCTTTTTTACGTGATTTTGTTTTATTAATTCTTATTGCTTTACTTACCCGAAATTTTAAAGTTTTATTAAAATTTATTAATTATCAAACTAAAAATATGTCTAAAACTAAAAGACAAATTCCTTTTATACGCTTTTTAATGCGTTTAATAACAAATTTAGCCGGAAGTGTAGTTCGTGTTAAAGGACTTAGAATTCAATTTAAAGGGCGTTTTGATCGTTGAAATAGAACAAAATCATTAGTTTTTACTAGTGGAAATATTCCTTTACAGCGTAAAGATGCTGATATAGAATATGGATCATCTCATGGTCTTGTAAAAAAAGGAGTTTATGGTATTCGACTTTGAGTTTGATACGGTCGTTATTATCATAAATCTTATAAAAATTTATTTATAAGTTATTGATATTTTAAACGTAACTAAATTATGAAACATTTTCCACCAAGAAAAAAATATAAAAAAAATTTTTCTAAACATTTAAGTTTTCGTAAAACAACACAAAATAATGGTTTAGTTTATGGAAATATTGGTTTACAAGTTGCTGAATACGGAAAAATTTCTCATTTACGCTTGAACGCTTTAAAAAAAATTTTAACTTTTTCATTACAACGTAAAGGTAAAATTTGATTACGTGTGTATCCTATGATACCTAAAACAAAAAAGCCTCTTGAAGTACGTATGGGGAAAGGAAAAGGAAATCTTAATTATTGAGAAACTACTATTTTCCCAGGAGAAGTTTTATTTGAATTAACAACTGTTGATTCTAAAATTGCTATAAATGGACTAAAACAAGTAATGAAACGTTTAGGTCTTAAATCTCGTATTATATATAAATATGATCAACTCTAATATTATTTTAACAAAACACCAATATACTACATTATTACCACAAAAATCATTTTTTGTACAAAAATTATTAAATAAAAAAAAAAATTCAATTATAAAATCTCAGTTAAATAAAGCTGAATTTATTTATTCAAAATCAAAAAAGGATAGATTTAAAGAAATTTCAAAATTAACTTCTGTTAAATCTTTAAAGCCTTCTATTACAAATAAATATTTTAAAATTAAATTATTTGGGTATAAAAGATTAGTAAAATCTTTTCTTATTAAAAAAGGAAAATCAAAAAAATTTCAAACTTTTACTTATAAATCACATATGTTTTTAAATAAAAGGTATCCACAATTTAGATTAAAAACTCATATTGAAATTTTTTTTAATCGTTATGCTTTTCCTAAGATTGCAATTGAAAAATATCCTATTTTTCGTAAACGTCGTAGTAAGCGTCCTTACCATACTTATAAGTTATTAGGAACTCATGTAGAACAAAAATATATTTTTAATTTTTTTAAAGATCATTTACGTCAAAAACTTCAACGTAATCTTGAAACAAAATTTGAGTCAATTTTTTTAACTTTAGCTTCGAAAAAAATAGATTTAAATAGTGTTCAACGAAAAAAAAATAAAAATATGGTTGAAAAATGATATCAGTTCCATCAAGGTCGTTTTCGTTTTTTAGCTAAAGAAAAAAAAATAAAAAGACAAGAATTTTTGATTAATCATAAAGATAAATTTGATAACCCTCAAAAATTAGCAAAATTAATTGATCCTCAATTTATTCGAAGAACAAAAATGACACGAAAAGAATTAAAAAGATTCCGTGAACTTCGTAAACTTGAACGTAATCGTAAATCTTATCCTGAAGTGATTAGTAAACTTTTTAAAATTTAAACATCCATGAAAAAGATGTTATGAATCATCTAAAATTTTACCTGATTTTAAAACTTTTATTATTAAAAAAACTCATCATTTTTGAAATAATACCCATGTTATTCAAAGAAAAAATTTTGTACATCAAATTAAAACAAGAAAAGCTGATAAAAATAAAGTTCGTAAATTTAATTGATTATTAAAAGGCTATAATTTATATCTAAACGCTCGTAATGAATTTTCAACAGGACGTTATCGTTATAATACTCATGCTTTAGAAACTAAAGAATATTTAGAAGATACTTTTTTATCTAAACTTCCATTATTAAAAAAAAATGAAGATAAATTTTGACGTACTTTAAATAAAATGCCAAGTTTACAAGCAAATTTTTTAAAATCTCGTACAGTTTTATATTATTCTCGAAAAAAAGAAACTACTCGCGAACATGAATGAGCTTTAAAATATGCTTTTAAACAAACAAATTTAGAGCGTAAAGTTTTTAATAATAGAAAAATAAAATCTTTAGTTAAACGTATCAAGATTCACCATGCAAATGCGGATAACGATGATTATATTAATATAAATAAAAATGTTTCATATGTAATGTCTCCTACAGAACCTTCTCATTATATAGGTATAGCTCCGTGAAGAAGTTCGCCTAGTGTTATTTTTGATTTACATATTGATCAAGAATTGCTTAAACATGAAAAAGATTGACGTACTGTAGATATTTGACGAAAAGCTTATCAAGAAACTGCTAAATTATATGATATTGCTAGACCTAAATATGCTTTCTGTGTTGCTTTTACTTTTTTTAAATGAAAAAAATTAATGTTGCAACCTTCTTCGTCTTTATTAAATATGGTTGAAAAGCAAAATTTTAAAGCATCTTCTAATTTTGATATTTTATTATCAAAAATTTTTTTATTTAATACTTCTGCTTATTTATGACATGGAGCAGTAATTTATCCTACTTTCTTTCCTACTCCTATTTCTCGTAAAATGTTACATAAAACACGTCCTCATATTATGAAAAATAGAAAACTAGAACGTCATTTACAAAGAATAACATCTTTAAATCGTGATTATATTCTTCCATATACAAAATATAGAGTTAAAGATGTCTTTACTTCAAAAAAATTTTTAAATAACTATTTAAAAAAAATAAATTATCTTTGTAATAAATATTCAAAAGTATCAAAAAGTTCTTGTTCTATAGCAACTAGTCCTTTTACTTTAAAATTAAAAAATAAAAAAAAAAATAAAATTAATAAAGGAAAAAAAAAATATCTTAGTTATTATAAATCTAGCGAAAAACCTGTACAAACAACAAGTCGTTGAGCTGATAAAAATAGAATTTTATATGAAGATAAACAAAATTGAACTCATCAACTGTGAAAAAAAACTTTTACTAAAAATTTTATGTCTCTTTATACACTTTCTATTTCTAGCTATTTAAAAGATCCGTTATTTAGAAATTATAATTGACTTAAAAGACAACGCCAATATTATCGTCGTTTTCCGAATTTATTAAGAGGGATTTTTTTATATTATAGAGGAGGTAAAAAACGTCATTTTAAAAGAAATAAAGCAGTCATTAAAATACAAGATAAAAAAGTTTCTAAACAAGAGCCAAGCTTTGAAGAATACTTGATTTCTTCTAACTTTACTGTAGCAGAACCTTATAAATATTTAACATACTTTACAAGTACTTTTAATAAAAATCATCTTGATATTACTGCTTGACGTTTATTAGAAAAAGAGTTTTTTGCAGAGTGTTTAAAAATCAATAAAAAACCTGTGCTAAGTAATGAAAGAAAATTTCGTTTTCAAGCAATTACTGCAAAAACTGGAAGTCATTTTATTACAGCTTTAACTATAAATAAACCTTTTTGAAATTTGACAAATTTTGAAGATTTAAAAAATAAACCTCAGATTAAAAATTTTTCTGCAGGAAAATTTTCTTATACTGGTTTTATTCGTTCAAATATTTTTTTTTAACGATTTTATTTATAATATTCCTTCATGTTTAAAAACAGCACTTCCTACTTATAGAAAAAAATTTCCTACTGTTTTTAAAAAAAAATAATTTTGTTTTAAATTTTCAAGTAAAAAGTTGAACAAAAGAAAGTTTACATATGTTTGATAAAACTTTTCAATCGCGATTATCTTTTGGTATTAACAAATTAAATATTAGAATTAAAAGTTTACCTATTCAAAAAAAGATTACACGACGAACTGTTTTAACTTCGCCTCATGTAAATAAAAATGCTCAGCAACACTTAGACCAAATAAAATATTCAAAAATTTATTTATTAGAGTGTAATGAAGCGCCTGATTCAAAACAAGTTTTTTCATTAATTTGAAAATTAATTTTTTTAGATTTAAAAGCTAATAGTCTTGAATTAAAGTTTATTTCTTCTATTAAGAAAAATAAATAACGGGATATAGCGCAGTGGTAGCGCATTTGTTTTGGGAACAAAAGGTCGTGTGTTCGAATCGCACTATCCCGATATTCTCTAGTAGCTCAGTGGTAGAGCGGATGGCTGTTAACCATTAGGTCGTTGGTTCAAATCCAACCTGGGGAGTAATTAAAAGCATCCTTAGCTCAAAGGAAGAGCAGCAGCCTTCTAAGTTGACGGTTATAGGTTCGAATCCTATAGGATGTAACTTGGTATGAGGCAGTGGCTGAGTGGTTAAAGGCGGTAGACTGTAAATCTATTGAATAATTTCTACGTTGGTTCGAATCCAACCTTCCTCAAAAGCCCGAATAGCTCAGGGGTAGAGCAGAAGACTGAAAATCTTTGTGTCGGTGGTTCAAGTCCTCCTTTGGGCATTTTTTTTTTTTTATGATAAATTATAATTATATTTTTACTGATATCTTATCACCTTTAAGTTTAAGTTTCAATAATTTTTATTTACTGAAAAGTATTTATTATTTCTTATTATGTACTTTATTTCCAGCTCTTTTTGTAGGTCTTTCTAGAAGTGCTGAAATTTTAGTTTATAGTCCTTTAGAAATAATACTCCCCGCTAGTGTAACATTAGCATCTTTGAGTCTTTTTCAGTTAGAAAGTCTGGTTGATATAGCATGTGCTGATTATATACAAACTCAAGAACGTTTTTTATTATTTTATCCTTTATTAAGTCATTCGTTCTCTTTACGTGTAGGTATTGTAACATTAGCTCATGATTTAGAGTGGTTATCATCACTTTGTTCCATTTTCCCTAATGCTAATTGAGCTGAAAGGGAAGCTTGAGATATGTTTGGAGTAGGATTTTTAAGTCATCCTGATCTTCGTCGTATTTTAACTGATTATGGTTTTAAAGGACATCCGTTACGAAAAGATTTCCCCTTATTAGGGTATCTGGAGGTGTCTTTTAATAATTTAGTAGAATTTGTAGAATATTTACCTGTATCTATAAGTTTATCTCCTCGTATATTCGCCGTTACAAACGAGCTCGCATTTGCGTATTGTTAATTAAATAAATTATGTTGTGAACTTTTTTTTGAGAAATAGAAATGATCTGGTTATTAGTTTTATTTATTTGTTTTAGTTTTTTTGTTGAATTAAAAAGTTCAGCAATAAGCTCTTTATGTTTAATGTTTTTTTTTTGAGTGCTTTTAGTAACTCAATTATCTTTTTCTTTAAAAGATTTTTTAGTTTTAAGTCCTGGCGAAACTTTATTATTAGATTCTTCAATAATTAATTTTTTTTTTACATTTTTATTTTTATTTGTTACTGTATATTTTTGACAAATTTTCTTTTCAAAAATGAATAAAAAAATGGAATTTGCAACTTTAATTTTTTTTATTTTAGTTTTAGGTTTACTTTTATTTAAAATGAATAATTTTTTAGAAATTTTTGTAGTAATAGAAGCTCTTAGCTTTATAGCTTATATTTTAGCAGGCTTTGAAAAAGATACAAAAATAGCATCGTCTGTAGGAATACAGTATTTAATTATTGGAAGTATTTCTTCAATTTTTTTAGCGTTATCTTTTATTTTAGTTTATAATCAATTTAGTACTACTACTTTTTTAAATTTATTACTAATTAACCTAAATTTTTTTGAAGAACAATTTTTTTCAATAGATAGTGCCTCATTCTTTATTGAAAATAACTTAATTTTTTTCAGTATTTTTAATTTAAAAAATATTTATACTTTTATTAAAAATTATTTAATTAAAAGTTTAGCTGTAGTTTCAAGTTTTTTTATAATAAATTCTAATAGTATTAAATTAGATAATGAATTTAACTCATTTCCTAATGGAGGTAGCCCTTTTAGTGGCCAATTTAAAAATAATTTTGGTATTTCATTAGAAGACGCTACAATGATTATGGAAAAAAAAAGTGAACTTTTAGCACAAGAATATTCATCATTATTTTTTGGATGATGAAATTGAAAAACTTGAGTTCACGGGCAATTTCCAGAAAAAAATTCAGAAGCTTATAATATTTTTTGAAATCTTGTTAAAACAAAAATTAAAGATTTTGATTTTAAATTTTTTTCTGATCGTGAATATTTTTTTACTGAAGTTAAAACTTCTTATCTTGAAATTAAAGTTACAGGAGACCTTTGAATGTATGATGGTTTAGATGCTAGTATGCAAGTAGAAAAACAAGTAATTAATTTTTTTAATGATTGGTCGGCTAAGCCTGGTATGCTTGACTTAGGTTACAAAGTAAAACATCATTATTCATCAGGAAATCATCCATTCACTTATAAATCTTCAGATGAGCTTGTAAATAATGTAGATTCTACCTCTTATATTCTTAATGGAAAAAATTTAGAGTCTAAAGAAGACCTTACTTCTACAGAAAAAACTAAATCTGAAAATAAAAAAAAAGATAGTGATGATGATGATGGTAGTAATTCTGGAGAGGGATCTTCTTCTAATGAAGAAACTCCATCAGCAGAAACTGAAGTAGATACCACTTCAGTAGAAGATACTGTCAATAGTATTGTAGCTGAATTATTTGATTTTAATTGAGAAGTTTTATCAAATAGTTTAGTTTTAAATTTAGAACAATGAAATTTTTCTATTTATGGGACCATTATTATTGTTTTAAGTTTTTTAATTGGTACTTTATTTTATAAAATTAAAGGAGCTCCTTTTCATATTTGAGCCCCAACTATTTATACTAGAATGCCTACAGGATCTATGGTAGTATTAGTTACTATTTTTACTTTAATTTTTAGTTTATATTTTTTTCAATTATTTTTTAAAATTTTTTTATTTATATTCTAATTTCTTTAGTCAATTTTTTATTTTAGGAGGAATTTTATCTTTAATTTTTGGATTTTTAGGAGCTTTTGATCAAAAATTATTAAAAAAATTTTTTATTTATAGTTCTATAGGGCATGTAGCTTTCTTATTATTTTCATTTATTGCGCCTTATACTTTCCAAAGTGGAACTAGTTTACTTATGTATTTATTAATTTATTTAGTTTCAACTTTTTTATTATGGTTTTTAATTACACATAATACAAAAAAAGTTGAATTTTTATCTAATTTATTAGTTAATATTAAAGAAAATTCTTTATATTTTTTTTTATTTGTTATTATAGTTTTTTCTATGAGTGGTATTCCACCTTTAGCAGGATTTTTTATTAAATTTGATATACTTTCAATTCTTGCTTTATCTAATGAATTTTTAATTTTATTTACTACTTTATTAATAACTGTAGCAAGTTTTTATTATTATTTAAGATTAGTAAAAATTTCAAGTTTTGAGAATTTTAAATCATATTTACTCCAATTTTTAAAAATTGAAAATTTTTGAGTTTATATTCGTTTAGTATTTTTATTTGTATTCATTATGTTTTTATTATTCTTTCCTATTATTTTTGAACAAAGTTTTTATTACGTACTTTCTTTTATTTTTTAAAAAAAGTATAATAGCTATGTAACATATTGGTAATGTTTAAAATTGCAAATTTTAAAAAAGCAGTTCGATTCTGCTCATAGCTTAAAAGGGGATATAGTTCAGTTGGTAGAATAGGTGCTTTGCATGTACTTGGTCATCGGTTCGAGTCCGATTATCTCCAATAATTTTTATGAAAAGTCGTTTGTTTAGAGATAGAAATCTCCGAGTATACGCTAAAAAAAATGAAATTAAAATTAAAGCTTTACGTTTACTTAGTGAAGACCTCAGCTTACCTTTTGTATTACGTCATAAAATTTTTTTACATTTAACACAAAAGCAAAAGTGAGCTTCATTAAATCGCGTAAAAAATCGTTGTCTTATTACTCAACGTTCTCGTGGAGTTTTTCGTTTAACGAAAACTTCACGTTTAGCGTTTAGAAAATTAGCAACCCAAGGATTATTACCGGGTATTCGCTTAGCCACTTGATAATAAAAAAAAAATGATTTTATTAAACCATTTAATTACTGTTATTAAATTAGCTAAAAAATCAGGTAATAAAAATATTTTTATTGGTATTAAATCTTCTTTCTTATGTTATGATTTTTTACGTATTTTATTAAGACAAGGTTTTATTAAAAATTTTCGTGAAATAAAACAAAAAAGAAAAGAAGGTTACGTTATCGAATTTCGTTTTGATGAACGTGGTAATAATATTATTAAAAATATTCAATTTGTCGCATCAAATCAAGTTTTTTCTACCGTAAAGATTAGTGCATTATGGAAAAAAGAAAAAGGACAAGGTTTATTTATTCTTTTAACTCCACAAGGTCTTTTAACAGACATTGAAGCTAGAAATTCTAATGTAGGAGGAAAACTTGTATCTATTATTGTTTAACTATTTATATGCTTTTATTGAGTGTTAATCGTAAAGAAATATCTTCCAATTTAAGATTACATCTTAGTAACAAGCAATGACTTGGTTTTCAAGGTTCATCAAATTTTTTATATTATATTTTTCCAGGAAATATTACTGTAGTTTCTACATTATTTCAAGATTATTTTTTATTAGATAAAGTTTTTGAAAAGCAACGTTCACAAATTTTAAAAAAAATAAAAAATATTTTTTTAAATATTGAATATAATTATAGTATAAAATTAAAAGTTATAGGTGTAGGATATAAAATAGATCCTATGCCTTCTCAAAAAATTTTAAATTTAAAATTAGGATTTAGTCATGAAATTCAATTTCCTTTAGAATCTGGAATTTTTTGTAAACGTTTAAATGATCGTTCATCTATATATATATTTTCTTCTAACGATCCTCAAACTTTAAAAAATTTTTTAGCTCGTTTAAAAAAATATCGTCCTGTAGAACCTTATAAAGGAAAAGGACTTCGTTATTTAACTGAAACTATTAAACGTAAAGAAGGTAAAAAAAGTAATTTATAATTATGAAACGCCTAACAGTTAACCAAGTAAAAGTAAAACAATTTACATATTTAAGAGCACAAATAGGTCATAGACGACGCATTTTAGATAAAACAATGAATTCATATGTAGCTGGAAATCAACAAGATATTTCTATTTTAAATAGTATTTTTATACTATGGTCTTGAGAACGAGCTTCTCAAATATTAACACGTGTTTTTTTATTTAGGCAAAAATTTGTTTTTTTATCTACTAATAAATTTATACCAAATTCATGATTAAATAATTTTTTAGAATGACATTTTCAATTAAAAAATAATAGATATCCTCATTTTTTAGGATATGTAGGTACTAATTGATATGGAGGTTTACTTTCTAATTGATCTAAATTATGAGCTTTTGTTTTATTAGTTTTTAAAGATTTATTAAAAAAAAAACATGTATCTAAAACACGCCATTTATTAATGAAAAAATTAGCGGGTCGTATTTCTAAAGGAAATCAACCAGCTTTTCCTGATTTTTTATTTGCATTAACTGCAGATAAAGGTTTATTACATGAATCAGATCTTATACGTTTAGTTTCTGTAGGATTAGTAGATTCAGATAAAAATATGAAATCTGCAAGTATTTCACTTATAGGAAATGATGATTCATTTTTATTAATAGAATTTATGGTACGTTTAATAGAACAAAGCTTTTTGGTAAGTTCTCGTGAAGAACATGAGCTTTTTTACCGTATTTTATTTAAAAAATTAAAAAAATTTATTATATTAAATTATGAGAAAAAATTGATATAAACCTCATTTAAAAATAGTATATAATGTACAAGATAAAACATTTGTTTCTCGTTTAAATCGTCTTCGTTTTTTTCATGATCGTCGCGTTTTAAAATTTTTGCGTTGACATAAAGGAGATAAAGGACGCAAAGTAAGAGGAATTCATAGTTTAAAATGATATAAAATGCGTTATATTTTTGGACTTAAATTTTTTAATTTTTCGTCAAAAAAACGACGTAAAGTAAGATTTTATCTTCAAAAAAATTTATACAAAGTTGAATTATATCGTAAAAAAGGGTTTTTAAGTTTTTATAGAAAACTTGATGACTCTAAAATACGCAATTGATTTAAACATCAATATAATAAAAGTCGTCAATTTAAAATTATTAATTTTTTTAAAATGTTTGAAACTCGTCTAGATGTTATCAGTTTTAGAATGAAATTAACTCCTACTATTTTTTTAGCTAATATGTTTATTAAAACTAGAGGTTTACAAATTAATTACGGTTTAAAAAAAGAACCTAGTTATCGTTTACAAATAGGAGATTTGATTAGTTTTGAATCAGATACATTATGACATTTTTTTGCTTCACGTTTTCATAATCAATTATGAAAAAGGTGACATCGTTTAATTGATTTAAATAAACAACGTAAAACAACTCGTTTATTAACTTTTCGTGAGTATAATAAAAAAAGTAGTTTACATATTCAAGAGGATCGTTCTTTAATTTTAAATCAAAATTTTAAAAATTTAGAAAATACTTGAACTTTCTTTATCAATCAAAAACAAACTCGAAATAATAATAATATTAAATTCAATAATTTTAATGATTTACAAGAAAATTTAATAATAGCTGATAAAAAAACATTAAATGAGTTTGCTATTAATCAGTTATTAGTTAATTTTTCATTAGAAAAGCGTTCTCGTTTATTAATGGATTATAAATTATTATTAAAAGAATTTGCGTTTTCAAAACATAAGGTAAAATTAAAAAAAAAGAAATTTTTTTTTTTTTTAGTAAAACATTATATAAAAAATTTTTTTAATACAGTTCAAAAAGAACAAGATAAATTAAAACATGTAATTTTTTTTTATAAAAATTACTATAAAAAAAATTTAAAAAAAAATCTTTTAAACAATATTTTAGGAAAAAATTTTACTTTATTTTTTTTTAAAGAAAAAAATACTTTAGGACTTTTAAAAATTTTTATATTAAATGCTTTAACAAAGTTTTCTTTAATTAAAAAAACATCATTTTCTTTTTTTTTGAAAAAAGAAAATTCAAAAAATGAACAAAAATTAAATTCGCGTATAAATTACTATACGTCTCAAATTCAAAATGTTAATAATTTCTCTTCAAATCTTTTTTTTAAACGTAAAAATTTAAATTCATTATTAGAAAATTCTTTTATTAATTTAGAGAATTTTAAATGATTAGATACTTGAAGTCAACAAATTTTAGTTTTTTTTAATTTTAATTTTCAATTAAAAACATTATTACAGCGTATTTTTGTATCTTTTATTATAAGAAATGAAACTTATCGTTTCTTTTTTTTAAAATTTTGGTTAATTTATCGTTCATTTTTAACACGATTTGCTAAATTATTTTTACCTTTAAAAAAATTTTTTCAGTATTTAACACTTTTAAAACATATTTGTAAATCTACAAATGAAAAAATTTTATCTTCATCCTTTTATAAAGGATTATATTTACGTTTTTTTATACAAAAATTTGAATTAATTTCAAATTTTGTTTCTCTTATTGAAAATCAAAGTTTTAATTTTAATCAATTTTTTATTTTATTAAAAAATTTTTTAAATCCAATAATTTTTATGAATAATGTTAATTATTTAAAAAAACATTTTTTATTAACACGTCTTCCTTTTGAAACATTTACTGAAAAATATAATGAAGATCTTCATTTAGTTTTTGAACATGTTATTGAAGAAAATTTTTTTGATATATTAGCAGATTGAGTTCTTTATACTAATAAACATAATATACATTTTACTATTTTTTGAAATCATTATTGTGATGAACAAAAAGTTGTTCTTATTGTTTATTTGAAAACTGCGTTAGAACTTAAATATGATTGAAAAGAACTTTTTTTTAAAGATCCATTAAAGATGGATTTAACACATCTTCATATTTTACAGCCATTTTGTAGAGGATTACATCAAGAATTTTATATGGAATCTACTTTTTTATTAAAAGATTGTTTTGCAATGGAACAGTATTCTTTACTTCCTAAAATTAAATTTACTGATTTTTATTTAGATAATGATTTAGAAAATAAAATAATGACAAGTTTTTTAGTAGCACAACAGAATGCAGGTCTTAATGAAGCAGAAGAACCTCTAACAGAATCTGAAGAAGAAGATGAAGAAGAATTAAAGCAAAAAAAATTAGAAGAAAATAATCAATTAAATGAAGGAGAAAGTTTACAAAATTCAGAAGACGAATATGTTGTTTTAAATACTTCAGAAGAAGAAAGATTACAACGAGCTTTTATTTATGAAGAAGAAGAAAAAGATCTGGGTGTTTTTGAACTTTCAGAAACTTCGGAAACAGAATATGAACATTCTTTTATTGAAAATGAACTTTTAAATACTTCAACTTATAATTGAAAAAAAAAACAACTTTTTAATATTAATCGAACGAAACTTATAAGTCTTGTTACAAAAAATTTAATTAAAAGTTCATTAATTGAACGTAAATTAGAAAAAAAATATATTGAAAATTTTGAAGTTTCATTATTTAGTAAAAATTTTAATTATATTTTAAATAATTCTAATGAAACTGCTTTAATTAAAAATTTTGATATTAAAAATAATTTAAAAATTTTTCTTAAAACTATTCCTTTTAATACTTCTTTTTTAGCGTATACAAATTCTATTAAAAAAAAAGATTTTAATGGAAATATAAATTTACGTTCAAAAACTTATAAAAAGTTTATTTTAAAAGAACAAAAAATTTGAAAACGTTTTAGACGTTTAAAACGACGCCGTAAGTTTCAATTTTTACGTGGGCATAAAAGAAGACGTCGTTATACATTTAGTCGTTTATTAAAAAAAGTTAAATTTGTTAAAAATCAAAAAATACAAGCAAGAAAACAATTAGGCGTAAAAAAATTAACTAATTTTTTATTAAAACGTAATTTTATTCGTAATCTTGCGTCATTTAAATTAAATTCATGACGCCGTAAACGTGGAAAAAATTTTTTTAATTTAGTAAATTTTAATAAAAATATTCAAAAAAATTTATATTTACCTATCCGTCGAATTTATTTTAAAAAACGTTATTTAGTTTCAAAAAAAACAAAACGAAAAAAAAAATTTTTAGTTAGATCAATTAATTTTAAAACAAATTCTTTTTGACGTAATATTATTAAGTTAATATTATTAAATAATAATAAAAAACATATTAAATCTCAACTTACTAAAAATGTATTTTTTATTAAACAAAGTTTTATTATACTTCGTGCTTTACAAAATTTAAAAAAAAAAAATTCTTCATTTAATTTTAAATTTCAACGAACTTTAAATAAAAAGCGAACAAAAAAACGTTTATATTTTTTTTTATCTACTCCACGTTTTAGAAAACAAATTTTAAAACAATATCGTAAAGATAAAAAATTCATGAAAAGTCATAAAAGTTCTACAATAATTATGAATAAAAAAAAATTTTTTTCTCGTTGAAAATGAAAAACTCATTATAAACAACCTCGTAATTGAATTTATTTAAATAATACTTTAAGAAATAGAAATAAAAAATTATTTTTTACTTCTAAAGTTAAACAAAATATGTTAGCGCAATTTAACAGTTTATCTAAAAATAAATCAATTAAAGATAAAAAAAAAATTAAATTTTCTTCATTTTCTTTTTGACGTAAAAAAAAAAAAAAGAAAGCAAAAGCATGAGTTTCTAATAGAAAATCTAATAGACGCTCAAGTAATTTGTATTTACGAACTGTTAAAAGACGTTTCCGTTTTCTTCCTACTCAATTTTCATTCTATAAATTTAATTTTTTTAAACGTAAAAAAAGTTATAAACGTTTTAGAGGAGTTAAACAATGATGACGCCGTACTATCCGTCCTAAAAAAAAAGAATATAGAGTAGCTTCATTAAAAAGATATCATCAAAAATCTTTTAAAAATGTTGTTGCTTTTTCATTAGATACGGATACAAAGCAAACTAATTTAATAAATACTCTGTGAACTTCTCAACAAAATTTAGCGTTAAAATTAAAATTTTTAAATAATTTAAAAATAGAAACTCAATTAGATTCTTCATTTTTATTATATCAGCAATTTTATAATTTACAAGCTTTTATTCCAAATTATGGTTGAAATTTTGATCAAAAAGTAAATGAGGTTCAAGAACTGGAAAACGAGAATTGATTTACTAACCAAGAAAATAATACAAGAAATGAAATTTTTTATACAATGTATAAAAAAAATAAAGTATTAAAATCTTTTGATAAACTTTTATTAAATAAATCAGTAAAAATGAAACCTCGTCGTAAACATTCTTTAATGATGCGTTCAAATTTTTTTAAGTTAAAAAAAAAAGTAAATAATTTTAAAAATCTTCAAAAAAACTTATCGTTTAATATTACTGAAGATAAACTTCGTCGTTACAAAAAGTATATTTGATATCATCAAAAGTGAATGCGCCGTTCTTCTGTACGTAAACGTTATAAATTTAGAACTAAATTATTACAATTAAATAAAATACGTCGTTTAAAGAAAAAAAAATTTTTAAATATTAAAACAAAACCTTCATTATTTTTACCTCATTTTTTAGAGTACGACTTTGTGACTTTTAGAGGTGTTATGATTTCTTTTCCCAAAGTGGAAGCTTCTGTTTTCGGAGGAGCGTCTAATAGTTATTTTTATGGCTTAATCAATTATTATCAACGATTAGGACTTTAATAAATCTCTATAATAGAAGAAGGGACTCAATTCCTTGTGCCAAATTAGGTTTCGTTTTGTACTTAGCCAGTCACGAGGATACACACTACCTGTTATAAATTCAAAGCATAGAGGTATTGATCTTCATATGTTAGTTACAGCAGCAAAATTAATTGGAGCAGGAGCAGCAACTATCGGATTATCTGGTGCAGGAGTAGGAATTGGTTCAGTATTTGGAGCTTTAATTTTAGGAGTTGCTCGCAACCCTAATGAAAAAGACGAACTTTTCCGTTATGCACTTTTAGGATTCGCTTTAGTAGAAGCTATCGCATTATTAGCAATGATGATCGTACTTCTTATTTTATTCACATTCTAATATGGTATCTATAGGAGGAGCATGTTTTATTGTATGGGTTATTGGCGTATATGTAATGTCCCAATACCTTTAATTCTTATATCAGAGAGTGAAGTTAAAGATTTTTTAACTTGCGAATTTTTAGTATTTTAGTGATTTTTTTGCTTTGTGTTTTTCACTATAAGAAAATATGAAGCCCTTTATTTTTTAAAGGTTAAGGAGGATAGTTCAATTGGTAGAGCAGTGGTCTTCAAAATCATCGGTTATGGGTTCAAGTCCCGTTCCTCTTGTCATCGTTTTAATAATAAAAGGCTCATAACTCAGTTGGTTAGAGTGCTCGCTTGATAAGCGTGAAGTCAGTAGTTCAAGTCTACTTGGGCCTATTATATTTATATATGTATTTTTTTTCTAATTTAGTATATCAAGAAATGTATCAAAAAATGTTTTTATTTATATGTCTTAGTTTTGCACTTAGTTGCGTATTATTTATAGTTTCTTTATTATTAGCTTCGCACGATCCCTATTATGAAAAAATGACTGCTTATGAGTGTGGTTTTGAACCTTTTCAAGATGCACGTAATAAAGTAGATATTCGTTTTTATATCGTAGCTATTTTATTTATTATCTTCGATATTGAAGTAGCTTTCTTAATGCCTTGATTAGTCAATTTTGTTTATTTAGGTACTCAAACTTTTTGACTTATGATTTTTTTTTTAGCTATTTTAGCGTTAGGGTTTGCTTACGAAATTGTAAAAGGAGCTTTAGATTGATAAGATTCATAATCTTATTTATAATTAAAGGGTATATAGCTCAGCTTGGTAGAGCACTGGACTTTTAATCCATTGGTCTTGGGTTCGAATCCCAATGTACTCATCATTTTTTAGAGAAAATAACTCAATGGTAGAGTGTTAGATTGTCAATCTAAAAGTTGCGGGTTCAAGCCCCGTTTTTCTCGTAAAACGTAGGCGGATATAACTCAGTTGGTTAGAGTGTCAGGTTGTGGCTCTGAAAGTCAAGGGTTCAAATCCCTTTATTCGCCCAGAAAGTCTCACTTTAATATATAAAAGTGACTTATTGTTCAAATTTCTTATCAATAAACATGAAGAACATTTTGATTTGTGTTCATTTAAGTGGCCAGTGACGAAAGTATAGTGTAGTATAAAATCTCTTATACTTTCTGATCATTGCGTTTATTAAGTAATTAAAAAATTTAGTTTTCTTTTTTATGCCTCAACTCGATAAAGAATTATTTACTGAATATTTTTTTGTAATCGCTGTCGTTTTATTAAGTTTACATTCAGATTATTATGTTTCAGAAAATTTTTTACGTTTGAATAGTCAATGATTCTTACACGATTTTTTTACCAAATCGCGTTTATTATTAAATTATGAAAAACAAGAATTTACTTTTTATGTAGATTTACTTATTGATAAATCTACAGCCATTTTTAAAAAATAAAAATTTATGAAAAAAATCAATCAAAACTTAGAAATATTAAAAAACAAAGACCAAGTGAAAAAAACTAAAGTAAAAAAAATTGTAGTACGCCGTAAAAGAAAATATACGGCACAAGTAGACAAAAAAACTTCTAAAGTTCAACCTGTATTATTAGGTGAAGTTGAAAAAGTTAAAGATGGAGTTGCTTTTGTAACTCGTCTTGGAAACGTTCGTTTTAGTGAATTAGTTTCTTTTATACCAGCTCCTTCTCGTTTAAAAAGTTTACGTAGTAAAGGAAATAGCAATCTTATCGTTGAAGGTATGGTTGTTGGTATTGAACAAGATTATATCTCTGTTATTATTTTTGGAGATGAGCGTTTTGTTAAAGTAGGAGATAGAGTACGTCCTCGTGGTAATATCGTAGCTATTAATGTAGGTATCGGTTTATTAGGACGTGTTATTGATCCATTAGGAAATGTTTTAGATGATCCTTCTCGTCCAGTTGAATTAAATAAATCACCTAAAGATGATTTATTTAGAAATTATTATATTGGACGTGTTGTTACTGGATACTCTAGACCAGTTGAAATCCAAGCTCCTGGTATTATTGTACGTAAAAGTGTAAATAAACCTTTATTAACTGGATTAAATTGTGTAGATAGTATGGTGCCAATCGGATTAGGACAACGTGAGTTAATTATTGGAGATCGTCAAGTAGGTAAAACTGCTGTGGCTATTGATATGATTTTAAATCAAGCTTTTTTAAATGAAACTTTAAGAAATTCTTTATTATCATCTGAAGGAGCTGTTGTTAATAAATTATTACCTTCTAAACCTTGTTATTGTATTTATGTAGGAATTGGACAAAAACAGTCTACAATTGCTCGTATTGCAAAACTTTTAAAAAGACCTCGTACTTTATTTGAACGTAATGTTTCTACAAAACGTTCTTCTGTATTTAGTGCTTTAAATTATACTATTCTTGTAGCTTCTATTTCTTCAGATTCTGCACCAATTCAATTTTTAGCTCCATATACTGGATGTACTGTAGGAGAGTTATTTAGAGATTCTGGATCAAATGCAGTTATTGTATATGATGATTTATCTAAACAAGCAGTAGCTTACCGTCAAATGTCTTTATTATTACGTCGACCTCCAGGACGTGAAGCTTACCCTGGAGATGTATTTTATTTACATTCTCGTTTATTAGAACGTGCAGCACAAATGTCAGATGCTGTAGGAGGAGGTTCTTTAACTGCACTTCCTATTATTGAAACAATGGCAAATGATGTTTCTGCGTATATTCCAACTAATGTAATTTCTATTACTGATGGTCAAATTTTCTTAGAAACTGAATTATTTAATCAAGGGATCCGTCCTGCAATTAATGTTGGTTTATCTGTAAGCCGTGTTGGATCTGCAGCACAATTTAAACCTATGAAACAAATTGCTGGTACTCTTAAATTAGAATTAGCACAATATCGTGAAGTTATGGAATTTGCGAAATTTGGGGCAAGTTTAGATGCTGAAACCAAACGTCAATTAAATAGAGGAGCGAGACTTGTAGAATTATTAAAACAAGGACAATATGTACCTTTAGAAGTATCTGTTCAAATCGTATTTGTATTTTTAGGTATTTCTGGTCTTTTAGATGGACGTAAACTTGAAAACCTTGGACAGTTAAAAGCTGTTTTACGTTCTTATTTACGTCAAAATTATAAAGGAATGGTAACAAGTTCAAATTATTTGCAAACTGCAAATCAAATTGATCTTAATTTTAAAAAATTAGTGGTTAACGATACTCTTTACGTATTAGCTACAAATAATTTTTAATAAAATATGTTAAATCTTTTATTAAATAATTTTAATTTTTTATTTAGTCCTTTTGAAGGTTTTAAAATTGCTTCTTGAAATCAAAATATTTTTACTTTAAATGAAGATATTTTTTTTTTTAATGAGCCTTTATGATTATGAAATGTAAGTTCTTCTGTAAGTTCAAGTTTTTTAAACGATCTTATTTGATTTGTAAGTAATGATGGTTTATTAATTTCATTAGCTATTTTTATTCTTTTTTTTGTAAGTTTCCAATTTTTTGGTTCTGATAAAAGCAGTACTGATAGCTCTACTTTTTCTGAAGTTCTTATTATTTTTTTAATTTTAATTACCTTTACTTTTTTAGGTCAAAGTTTATTTTTTTATAGCCAAATTTTAGAAGGGAATTCTTTAATTCTTTCTTCGGCAGTAACTGAATCTTTTTTCTTAGATTTTTTTTTTAATAAAGATTTATGAGGATTTTTTTTAATTCTTTTATTCTTTTTTTTATTATCTAGTGGTTCGTTATCAAATTTAACTTTATTTCCTAAAGGAGATTTAGATCATTTTTCTAACAGTTTTTATACATTTAGTTTAGATTTATTTTCTAGTACTCTTGAATTACGTACTGAAAAAGAAGTTCAAAATTTTCAAGAATTCTTTTGAAAAGTAAATGCTATTTTTGGGTTTATTTTTTTAGCAAATTCTATAGGGATGATTCCTTTTTCTACTACAATTACTAGTAACTTAACTAATACTTTTTTTATTGCATTCACAGTATTTTTTGTAGTAATTGGAACTATGGTTTTTGAAAAAGGTTTTACTCACTTTCTTGAATTATTTTTACCTTCAGGAACTCCTTTAGGATTAATTCCTATTTTAGTTCCTCTTGAATTATTTTCTTATTCTTTCCGTTTAGTAAGTCTTTCTGTACGTTTATTTGCAAATATGTTTGCAGGGCATACTCTTATGAAAGTATTTTCTGGATTTAGTTGATCTTTACTTTTAGTAGGGGGATCTTTTACTTTAATCCATTATTTACCAGTATTAATTCTTTTTGCGTTAACTTTATTAGAATTAGGGGTTGCTGCTATTCAATCTTACGTTTTTGCAGTTTTAAGTTTATTGTATATTCGCGATATTTTTGCGGGGCATTAATTTTATTTTTAATGTATCCTGGAGTATAGCCAAGAGGAAAGGCATCAGTTTTTGATACTGATATGCAAAGGTTCGAATCCTTTTACTCCAAATTTTAAGATTTTTAAGCAAAGAGTTTTCTTTATAGAATTAAATGGGTTTGATCCTGGCTCAGAGTGAACGCTTATGGTATGCTTTACACATGCAAGTTTAATGAAAAAAAAAATAAAATTACTGATTTTTTTAATCTTATTTTTTTATTATAGCGAACGGGTGAGTAAAAACTTTTTTTTACCAATCAATTTAAGAAATTCGTGCAATATGAAAATCTTAAATAAAAAAATTTTTTTAGGAAAATTTGTAAAAGACTATATGTTGTTGGTTGATGAAAAAAGAAAGTATTAGGTTGTTGGTTTTCCAAGCCGAAGATGCTTAGTTGGTCTGAGAGGATGTACAACCACATTGGGACTGAGACAAGGCCCTGACTTTTAAAGGCTGCAGTGGGGAATATTGGACAATGAGAGAAATCTTGATCCAGCAAAATCAGATGGTAGGACGCCGACACAAGAAGGCTGTAAGAGTATTCAGGCGAGGTTGTAAATATCTAATAAAAAAAAAGATGATGACTTTTTTTTAGAATAGTCCCGGTAAACTTCGTGCCAGCAGCCGCGGTAATACGAAGGGGGCAAGCGTTATTCAAAAAAACTGGGCGTAAAGGGCTTTTAGATGGTATAAAGAGAGTTATTAGCTAAAGTTCTTAATTAAGGTAAGAATTGTCTAATAAAACATTTAAACTTTGAGTAGCAAGTGGATAGGATTTATTTTTTTAGTTGAGGTGGCATTCGTCTATAAAAAAAGGAGGATCTTGGGTGAAAACATCCTATTGTTTGCGTACTGACGTCAATAAAGCAAAAGCATAGGGAGCAAACAGGATTAGATATCCTGGTAGTCTATGCCCTGACCGATGGGTATTAAAAAATTAATGTGTTTTTATAATTAACGTGTAAATACTTCGCCTGGGGACTACGGTCGCAAGACTAAAACTCAAAGGAATTGACGGGGGCTCTTTACAAACGGTGGAGCATGTGGTTTAATCTGATAATCCGCGTAAAACCTTACCAGTTCTAACTCGGTGTTGCATGGCTGTCGTCAGCCCGTGTTGTGAAATGTAGTGCTTGGGCATTCAACGGGCAAGACCCTCAATAAAATTTTATATAAATTTTAGAAAGATAGTTTAAGGAGGAGTGATTATTCTTTGGGAATCAAAGGGTTATTTGCGTAAAAGCTTATAATTTAGAATCCCTATTTTAAAAAAGTAAGTAGTACTTGCTTTAACAAAATTGTGAAAAATGTTTACTCTTGCTTCTAAGGAAATGAGGTTGAAGTCAAGTCGTCATGGCTCTTCGAACTGGGCTACACATGTGCTACAATGATTATTACAAAATATAAAATTTTTTTTATGAAGTGAAACAGTGATGAAATTTTTTTAAAAATAATCTTAGTACGGAGTATAAACTGCAACTCGTTTATATGAAGTAGGAATCGTTAGTAATCGTGAATCAGAACGTTACGGTGAATAGACTTAGGGTCGTGTACACACCGCCCGTCACGTCAGGGGAGTAAAATTGGCCTGAACATTCAATACTATTTTTTTAAGGAAAATTTTATATTCTTAATACTATAAAGGTTTTAAGTGGTATATTTAAATTTTCAACTTGAATTTTTAGTTTGGTGGAGGGACGATTTTGTGACCGTGATGAAGTCGTAACAAGGTAATCGTAAGGGAACTTGCGGTTGGAAAGAACTATATATATTTTTTTTATTTTTATTTTTGTAAGAGTATCTTATAAAAATTTTATTTTTTTATTTTTCGCGGTGCAGATGGTCACGTCTGGGCTCATAACCCGGGACGTGAAGGTTCGATTCCTTCCACCGCGCTATATTAAAATTTTATTTATTATGGCTTTTTATAATTTGAAAAACTATTCAAAAAAAACAAAATCTTTAACTATTTTACAAAAATTTTTACGTATTAGTGGAGAAGCAATTCCACGTTTTTGTTATTATCAATTTTTACCTGTAGCAGGAAATTGTCGTATGTGTCTTGTTGATGTGAAAGGGAGCCCTAAGCCTATAGTAGCTTGTGCGTCTCCTTATGCACCTTCTATGCGAATTAATGTTGAAAGTCCATTAACGCAAAAAGCACGTGAAAGTGTGCTTGAATTTCTTTTATTAAATCATCCTTTAGATTGTTTTATTTGTGATCAAGGAGGAGAATGTGATCTTCAAGAAAATTCACAAAAATATGGTTCGGATAAAAGTCGTAATTTTCGATATATGCGCCGCGCTGTAAAAAATAAAAATTTAGGTTTTATTATTAAGACTGAAATGAATCGTTGTATTCATTGTGAAGGTTGTACTCGTTTTTATTCTGTTATGACAGGAAAACCATTATTAGGGACTCTCGGCCGTGGTTGACGTACTGAAATAGATACTTATTTTAATAGCTTTTTATTATCAGAATTGTCAGGAAATTTGGCAGATAGATGTCCTGTAGGATATTCGTATATTTAAATTATGTTTTTTTGAATTTTAAAACAGATATTATATTTTTTAGCATTAATTATTTTTGTTCTTTTAAGTGTAGCGTTTTATGTTTTATTAGAACGTCAAATTTTAGGGCATGTTACTCGTCGTCAAGGTCCTAGTACCGTAGGTATTTTTGGGTTGTTACAAACAATTGCTGATGCTTTAAAGTTATTAGCAAAAGAAAGTGTATTTCCTCGTAGTATTAATACTATTGTTTTTCTTTTTGCTCCTATATTTACATGTGGACTTGCACTTGCAAATTGAGTAGTTATTCCATTCGGAAATGGTTGAGCAATTGCTGATTTTAATTTAGGTGTTTTATATCTTTTAGCATTATCTTCATTAAGTGTTCATTCTATTATAATGGCAGGGTGATCAAGTAATTCTAAATATGCTTTTTTAGGAGCTTTACGTTCTGCAGCTCAAATGATTTCTTATGAAATTGCAATGGGGTTAATATTACTTTCTGTTATTTTATTAAGTCAGTCTTTAAATTTAACCGATATTGTGATGGCTCAGTATAATGTATGATTTTTTATTCCTTTATTTCCTTTATTTTTAATGTTTTTAATTTGTATTTTAGCAGAAACAAATCGTCATCCTTTTGATCTTCCTGAGGCAGAAGCTGAACTTGTTTCAGGATATAATGTAGAATATTCCGCTGTAGGTTTTGTATTATTTTTTTTAGCCGAGTATAATAATATTATTATGATGTCAGCTTTTACTGCTATTTTATTCTTAGGAGGGTGAAATGTACCTTTTTATTCATTTTGATTCTTTGGTGATGGTATTTTACGTAACATTTTTGAATCTTATTTATGACCTTCTCTTTTTTTTAGTATAAAAACTATTCTTGTAATGATTTTTTTTGTTATTATTCGTACTGCTTTACCTCGTTATAGATATGATCAGTTAATGCGTTTAGGGTGAAAAATTTTTTTACCATTAGCTTTAGCTTTTTTAATTATTTATTTGAGTATTTTAAAATTATTTTGATAACTTTTTAGACTATTTTTATTTGAAATTTTTACTATCTTATGCAATCTATTATGTTAAGATTAAGACAAAATTCTTTATTTAATGTGTATGTTAACCACGCAGAGTGATATCCATCACCTGCGAATTTAAATTATTTTTGAGGGTTTGGTTCAATTGCTCTAGGAGTACTTGTTTCTCAAATTGTCAGTGGAGTTTTACTTGCAATGCATTATAACGCTAATATTAATTTAGCTTTTAATGATGTAGAGCATATTATGCGTGATGTTGTAGGAGGAGATGGTCTTCGCTACTTACACGCAAATGGAGCTTCGATGTTTTTCATTTCTGTATATGTTCATATTGGACGTGGACTTTTTTATGGATCTTATTTTTATCCTAGAATTACTTTATGATATTCAGGAGTAATTTTATTCTTTTTAATGATGGCAGCAGGATTTTTAGGATATGTTCTTCCTTGAGGACAAATGAGTTTTTGAGGAGCTACTGTTATCACTAATTTTTTTTCTGCAATTCCAGTTGTAGGAGGAGCTATCGTTGAATGATTATGAGGAGGGTTTTCTGTAGATCAACCTACTTTAAATCGTTTTTTTAGTTTACATTTTTTAATTCCTTTTTTACTTGCAGGGGTAGCTATTATTCATATTGCTTTATTACATGAGCATGGTTCTAATAACCCTTTAGGTATTAATGAAAATATTAAAAAAATCCCTTTTTTAACTTATTATGGAATTAAAGATTTATTTGGTATTATGCTTTTTATTGTTTTTTTTGTATATTTTTTAGTGAACTGTCCTAATTTATTAGGTCATGCTGATAACTATATCGAAGCTTTACCTTTAGTAACTCCAGCTCATATTGTACCAGAATGGTATTTTTTACCTTTTTATGCTATTTTACGTACAATTCCTGATAAATTAGGTGGAGTTATTGCAATGGTTGTTGCTATTCTTATTTTATTGTCTCTTCCGTTTTTAGATACTTCTAAAATTCGTTCAGGACTTTTTAAACCATTACATTTTATTAATTTTATTCTTTTTATTTGTGTAACATTATGTTTAGGATGATTAGGACAATCTGTTGTAGAATTTCCTTTTAGTAATCTTTCTGAAGTTGTTACTATTTTATATTTTTTTTATTTTATATCACATTTCCGTTTAACTACTCAGTACGTTAAATAAAAAGGTTTTGCTCTCTTGGTGGAATAGGTAGACACAGTAGACTTAAAATCTATAAATTATCGGTTCAAGTCCGATAGAGAGTA